CCGGCCGAGGGTCCCGCCACCGGCGAGGGGTCCGGCCGAGGGTCCCGCTACCGGCGAGGGGTCCGGCCGAGGGTCCCGCTACCGGCGAGGGGTCCGGCCGAGGGTCCCGCTACCGGCGAGGGGTCCCGCTGCCCGCCCGGGCCCGGCTGGACGCCACCCGCCGCTGCTCCGGCTCCCTGTTTCTGCTGCCTCTTTCGGCTCCTCTGCGCTTTTCCCGCTGCAAATCGTCCGGGGGCTTCACCGCCGCGCGGTACGGGCGGGGACCCCCCGACGGTGGGGATGTGTTTTATACTCCAGTGTGCAGACGGGATGCCGGTTTTCTAGCGGGGAACCGGGYAGCGGGTGCGGGATGGAGCCGCGGGAGCCTGTTCCAAGCGCCGCGGAACGGGGATGCCGCGGGGAAGAGGCGCGGAGCGGCGGCGGCGGCTCCGGGGCGGCGGAGCGGTGCCGTGGGACCCCCGCTTATTTGAAAGCCCCTTTTTTGAGGTTTTTTTGAGGCGATCGGTGCATGGCAGGGGGAGGCGATGCTCCCCTTGGGTCCCCCGCAGCCGATCCCCGGTGCCCCCGGGCCGCCGTGCGCTCCCGCAGCCCCGGGCGCATCGCCTCGCCCCCGCTCTCTCCAACAGAATAACAGGGAAAGCGGGGAATTGCTGGAAAAAGGCGATACGAGAGCCTCCGTGTCCCCTCGCCCGACTCTCCTCTTCTTTCTCCCCGCAGCTTTCCCGCAGCGGGCTCAGTCCCAAGCACCGGGAAGCGCTCGGGAGCTCCCGGTCGGAGGAGGATGCGGCAGCTCGGGGTGAGCTTTTGGATCGGGAAAAAAAGGGAGGGTGATCCCCAAAATATCTCCATTCAGCTTAAGTTWCCCCTCTCCAAGTGAACCCTCCTTTTGCAGAATTTATTTGGAGCATTTGATTTTAATTATCCGTGGAATTCAGCCTTCTAATTGCGACTGGGGGAGAAAAAAGTAAAAGCAACTGCCCAAATTCCAGTTTTATCCACTGCTTCCCCTCGGAAAAATAGAGGGTCGCATATAAGATTGACAGGGGAAAAAATAGAAATTGGGCTTCAAGCATTCCAACGTTTAAAAAGTACCAGGAACGTGGTGGGTTTTTGTTTAATTACTATGATTTGCAATAAATAAACCGTATGCTTTGAATTTAAATGTGTTTAAATGCGCCTGAACATCCGTCTGCCTTCTATGTGAAAATTCATTTCTCTCAAATTGCGAAGAAGGATTTAATTTTATTTAAAAAAAAAAGTCCTGAATTTTTCCAGCTTTCAGCTGTTCACAGAGTTACTTCCTGACAAAGTTATTTGAAATACAATTTCCAAAGCGTCTATAAAAAAAAAAAAAAGTATTTTAAGGCTCAAGGCGAACTAAATCTGTTGAGTTTGCTAATGAGGAATAATTGAAATTTTCTTCTAAAACTTAATGAGATTGGGGATGAGCTTATGTTTCCCTGGGCTGTGGATTGGTGACTTTGCAATGCTGTTGGACACTTGGGAAAATCTTTTTTCCCTCTCCTGTGACATATAATTAATGTATATTCCTATAAATCCCATCTCATTGGGTAATTTACCTTGACTCACAGAATTGCAGTGTTTCATCTCTTTTAGCCATGGCTAGAATCCAAGCAATAATCACTATTTTTAGTCCACCTTTCCCAATCCAGCCTCTCCTGCGGAGCACCTTCCTCGGAAGATCCCAACCTCAGTGCGTGACTGAGGCCGGGAAGGGATTTGTGGGATGCTCGGAGTTTTGGAGGTAGGAATCGAAACAAGAACCCCTTTTTTCTGCTCCCTGTCTTCAACTCCCAAGATTCCTGCAAAAGAAGCCCCCAAGGACAGCAGGAATTAGAGACGTTGGTTTTCTCCCCTCCTTRCTGCTGCCTTCCAGGGTTCCCCAGCCGTGCCTGAGGCAGGGAGTTGCATTTCCCAGCCCACAGGCTTGAATTCCTCTTTGTCTAGCACAGGTAGAAGGAGGAAGGAGACTTTGGGCAGTTGTTTCCCTTTATCCCAGAGATGGGCACAGGGAAGAGGCCATGCCTGGAAGCAGAGCAGGGAACGTGTCCGGCTGCACGTCCGGCTTTGTGATCCCGCACGAACCATTCCGTGTTTCTGTGTCAGTTCTCAGCGGATGGAGCGGCATTCCCTGGCCTCCCACACCGAGCACGCAGGGACAGGAGGGAGCTGGAACACCTGGAAAAGCTCAGCAGCTCCGGTTTCCYGAGAAGTTCACTCATCCATGAAATGGAATGAGATAATGTGGAGGGAACAAGTGGGTTCAAGTGGGGCCGTTTGTCCTGCGGKGTCTCGTGCTCGAGTTTTGTATGACAAAGGATCAGGGATGTTTGCCCAGGGATGGGCAAAGGCCGGAGCTGCAGGGCAGGATCCCACAGGATGTGTCATCCTGGCCTGCCACAGCTCTGTCCCGACCCAGGCTGCTGCAGGGCGGGCCCTGACATCAGCATTCCCAGGAAAAGGGTGCAGATCCAGCAGGGAAGAACCGAGGTTCCTGTTGCCCAGTGGAGCCTTCAGGAGTGCACGCAGGTAGGAAAGGTTTAGAGGGGATTTGGTGGAACAGATCCAGCTGTTCGTGATGGAGTGGGCACAGCAGAGGTTGATATTTGGAATATTGCTTCATTTTCTGACGTGGCCTCCAATAAAGTTCCTGGCCAGCTCAACCAGTGTTTCTGGGAATTGGGCAGTAAATACAAGGCCTGTGTGCCTGGCTCCAKCACATCCTCACTCGGGAATGCTCAGCACCCCTGTGGGATGGAGGCAGCCTGACCTCCCATCCTGGTTCCTCTGTTCCATACCCATTCCTCGTGGGATAGCAGTGCGTGTTCATTGGCTTCAGAGCAGGCAGAGCCCTGCTCGTGCCAGCAAGGAAAAATCTCCTTTCCAGGGGCAGCCAGGGAAGGCATTTTCAGAGGATGAGAGCATGTGGAATCTCCAGAMACCACAGAYGTGCCCTGGGATACACACACAGACYGTTTTCCTCCCAAAGGTGGGCTCCATCTTTCATCTGAACAAGGGGGAAAGTCCTCATTTATCCAAAACTGGCCTTCTTTGGCCTCCCAAGATTGTGTGTGGGAATTCAGCAAATAGAAAGAGCCTGATAGGGGAATTAAAACTAAGCCCTGATCAGATAAACYCATGTACGAATTACACATTAACTGTGAGGTGAGATGCTGGCAAAGGGTCTCTTCTTTCCTCYTGCACAGCACAGGCTGGATGGCAGCTTTCCAAAATAATGGAGATTACTGGGAATAATTATTATTGGGATTATTAATTGCATATCCTATGGTACCACTTAAGGATCCCCTCTCCTGTATCAGCATCTCCTCGTTATGCTGCACAAATACATGAGAAAAGTAATTCTTCCCCTAAAAATCCTTCCTAGCCTTAATCCTGCTAACCCTGGAATTAGGGAGCAGATTTCCATGGGGAAAGATCAGGGTTTTCAATGGAAAAACTATTACCGTGGGGAAAAAAATTGACTAATAGAAGGAAGCTCCTGAATTCTTTGTGAGATCCCGATCTCTCCTTCAGCAAACGCAGCTGAGTGCTCGGTGTGTGCCTGCATTATCCATAACTGAATGTGTGTGTTCTTCAGAGGAGCCCCACATGGTAACGCCGCCTCCCAATCTCCCGATTTTGCCRCACATTCCCTTTCCCTGCTCCCTTTCAACCCAATTCCTGGCAGCCAGAGGGGCGAAAGGCCAGCCCTGAATGAACACAGAGTAATTTAGGGTGCCAGGGCCRGCGGGGTTGAGGTGCTGCTGGGGACAGCTGCTGGGTGCTGTGACAGTGAAGGCTTGTTCCCCTGGCGCTTTTGCAGCTGTTTGGAACACAGCAAAATAGGGGACGTGGCGCTGGGCGGTTTGTTGAATGAAGATGAGCATCAATGATGCCCTTGCCTGCCTGGCATTCATGAATTGTCTTCCCCTGGTGGCTTGAAAGGCTCCAAACCTCACTGGTAAATATCGTGTCTGAGTTCTGTGCTCGGGGTTTGTGCTGTTCTCTTTCCTGACGTTTTGCTTGTGAAGTCTCCACGCGAAAATAAAAGTTAACGATAAAAGGGTAAGTGGAGAGAAAACCCAGCGCTGGTGATGGGCCCCACAAAGGGATTCACAGAATCACAGAATAGTCTGGGTTGGGAGGGACACATGAAGATCCCCGAGTCACATTTGGGACAAAAAAGACATAATTTGATGTCCCAATCAACCAGTTTATCATGTTTACCTTTCTAGCTTGAATCATCTTCCCAGAAAGCTAGGAAAGGCTTCCACTGCCTCTTATGTGAGTTGAGTCTTTTTCAGTAACATATTTCTGCTCTTTCAAGCTTAAAATTTGCAGTTTGTCCTGCTGAAATGTGCTCCTGACACACGATGTCCCCAGCTCAGTGTCACCACCTCAACCCGTGCATCCAGCAGATCTCGAAGCGTCCCTCGGCAATGAAAACCAACCCAGCTCAGCACTCCCTTCCCATCTCCAATTWTTCCTTTTCACTAAACCTTCAGCCTAAACCCTCTGCTTTTCCCTCAATAATTTCCTCATTTATCCAGTTTATTTTACAGACATCCCCATTTAACGTGGAATTTGCTGTAAAAGACCCCACAAAGGAAAGCATTAGCTCCCATCTATTTAAATTTTTGTTGCCAAACCTCGTAGCTGATCCTACAGGGAGAGCAGAACTKCAGTATTCCAGCGGCCTTTAACAAACAGCTGATTTTTCCTTCCCTATACAATGCACCATTATGTGGGAATTTTTTTTTTTTTAAGGAGAACAATGCGAGCAGCAGTGATGGGAAACCGGAAAAACAAAAGGGGCATTTAGAAGGGACTGGTTTAGAGGCTGTGAAGGGTTGAATAATGTTACACCTGACAGCAGATACTTTCTCAGCAACCAGCACAGAGGTGTTTACTAAGGGGATACTCAGTGTATGTTTATGCTTATCAATGGCTGATGAGGACACTTTATTAAAGCAGTTTTGCTCAAAAATACTATTTATGCACTCCACACTGCCAAGTGTTTGATGCTTGTAAATTATATGAAGTAAAAATCACTGCAGCATCACAAGCAGTGCATTTAGACGRGATTTTTGGAGGAAATTCTTCCCTGTGAGGGTGGGGAGGATCTGGCACCAATTCCCAGAGAAGCTGTGGCTGTCCCTGGATCCTGGGAGTGTCCAAGGCCAGGTTGGACGAGGCTTGGAGCAACATGGGACAGTGGAAAGTGTCCCTGGGGGTGGAACTGGATGAGCTTTAAGGTCTCTCCCAACCCAATCCAACCCAAACCAACCCATTCTGTGATTCCATAAGGAAAACCTGAGGAATTTAACTTGAAATGATCCCCTGCCCAGGCAGGATCACCAGGCAGGATCAGTGATGCAGAAACACATCCAGGAGGGTTTGGGATATCTCCAGAGAGGGAGATTCCACACACTCCCCGGGCCCTACCACCTCCACGGAAAGAAGTTTTTCCTTAAATTGAAGTGGAATTTGTTGAGCTCACTTGCCCTGAGCTCAGCTGGTGCGAGCGTGGTGCTGGTAATGCCAAGGTTGAGGAATCAATCCCTGTATGAGGACTCCATCACCCTCAGGGCTCCCTTCCAAACCAGAATATTCTGCGATTTGGATAAGATATCACACATCATCCTGTCCAAAGCACCACCGAACAGAGCCTGGCATAATTTCTGACACTTTGCAGATATTTCCATGGATTAATGGGATCCCGGATCCCTCCTCCAGCCAGCCCCGGCTCCCGCAGCCTCAGAGACGCTCCTCATCCCGCACCACCTCCGTGCCGGCCGCTTATTGCCTTTCTTTTCTTTTTCCTCATTAAACTTTGCACTTTCTCCCCGGCTGGCAGAGGATTCTCCCGGTTTCTCCCCGTTTTTTGGGTTTTTTTTCCAACTTCTGCCCGTTTTTTCCCCGTTTCTCCCCTTTTTTCCTGTTTCTCCCCCGCGTCCCCTCACGGCCCGCCCCGCCGGGCCGCACATGCTCGCTTGTGCCGCCATGCCGGCGCCGGTCCGCCGACCCTTTCCCCGTTCTCTCCCCGTTTTTCCCGGTTCTCCCTTTTTTTTCCCCCCGTTTCTCCCCGTTTCTGCCCCGTGTCCCCTCACGGCCCGCCCCGCCAGGCCGCACATGCTCGCTGTGCCCGACATGGCGGCGCCCATGGCGGGGCCGCGCCAGCGCCGGCCGGGCCGGGACCGAGCCCCGGGAGCAGCTCCCGATCCATCCCCCGCTGCATCCCCCGGTTCCCCCGGGCCGGGGCTCGGTGCCGCGGCTTTGCTGCTCCCCCCGGGCACCTTCTGGCTGACCCGCATCGTGCTGCTGCGCTCCATTGCCTTCCTGTACTGTGAGTGCCCGGCCCCCTGCGCCCCGCCGTGTCCCCGCGATGTCCCCGCGATGTCCCCCCGTGGGTGACCGGGGACAGCGGCCAGGGAGCGGCTGGAGCTATGCCAGGGAGGGTTCGGTGGGAGATCAGGGGGAAGCTCTTCCCCCGGAGGGTGCTGATCAGGCTCCCCAGGGAATGGACACATTGCCGAGGCTGCCAGAGCTCCAGGAGCGTTCGGACACAGCTCCCAGGCACGCTGCACGATCCTTGGGGATGTTCTGTACAGGAACAGGAGCTGGAGTCTGTGATTCCTGTGGGGCCCTCCCAGTTCAGGATATTCCATGATTATGCGATCCTTGTGAGTCCCCTCCAGCTCAGCATATTCCATGATTCTGCTGTTTCCCACTTGCACTTTCCACTTGCACTTTCCTGGTGGATTAGGGATGCTGCTGCTGATGCCTGGGTGGCGTTGGGGATGTTGGATAAGCAGAGGTTTGCTCACACCTCCAGGCTGGTAMCTCTTAGCAGAGCTGCTTGGAGCTGCTCATCCTTTTCCTTCAAAAGTTGTGAGCTCGCAGCACAGGAGAGGAACTCTGTATCTCCTGCAGCAGCGCTGGAGGGAGAGGTGACATCCCTGGCTGCCAGCACCACCAGCAATCAGGACCTGGAGTCGACATGACCTTAAAATATCCCACAGGAAAAGCGGCTTCCAGTCTCTGCCGTGCTCGCTTGCCTCTCGCTTTGGCACGGAGAGCTGAGCTCAGAGCCCGCTGGTGCTCCACTTAAAAATATTGACAGCGAAACCCAAACTGACAAGTAACACACTACRGTACAAATTCCAAACTTGCCCCAGATTTGTCCACAGAATCGTTAGAATTTGTAGCCTGCCAGCCTGCTTGGATTATTTTGCATCAAAACCACGCAGGAGTTGTAGTTTCGTATGGCTTTGACACGTGCTCTGGTTCTGGTTTGGTTTCAGCGCTCAGTGAAATGCGAGGTTATGACTCTTTCCGTCAAAATGAAAGCGATTCTGATATTCCCCCGTGTGTAAATCCAGGCTGCTGAGTTTCCCGGGGCTCAGTTTGCAGTTTCCTTATGGAAAACTGATGAGTGTTCTCTGCTGTGCCTGCGGTGGAGGCCGCTGCTCGCTGACGGTGGATTTGGGGTGATAAATGTGCCACATCTGGGAGCAAAGGGGGTGTGGGAGGGGAGCAGGGGGTGGCTGGAGGAGTGGGAATTGGTAGAAATTGAAGATGTGGGAGCTTGGGGTGAGTGGGATATACCCGGGACAATGAGGTGGGGAACGAGGATGTGATTGGGGGCAGGTGAGTTACAGGTGGAAGTGATTTAAGCTGTTGGGCCGCAGGGGAAAAGGACGCTGGGAGGGCCAGGGCTGGAGGATGAGGTGGAGGTTGTAGGTTGGTGAGTATCTGTGGGGTAGTAAAAAAGAGGGGAAATTCTGCGTGGGATTTTTTTCAAGTAGGAGAGATGTGTGAGAGCACCAGAGAAAGAGGGAGGAGACCCCAAAGTGCTTCTGTAGGGCAGAGTGAGGAAAAGTTTGGGAGAGTGAGGTGTCGGAAGGAGGGTTTTGGATGCTGGAGCTGGAAGGAGCAGGGCAGGAGGAGGATATTTGTGTCCCTGGGAAGGGGAGAACTGCAGGAGATGAGGAGTTCACCTGCTTCTTGTCCAGCTCGTGCTTGGCTGCACTCAGGTCCCAGGAATTCTGCTGGTTTGGGGTGAGTCCAAGCCAGCTGACCCAAAGCCAGGAGCCTGGGCCTGCTTTGAGACAGCTCCCATTCCTCCTGGGAGCAGGGCTGAGGCTGCCAGGGTAGCAGAGGTGCCCCACACGTTCCAAGCCAAGCATTTTTTGGGGTGGCAGCTCCCTGGAGTGTGTGAACTGCAGAGGCTGTGAGCGGGTGGGTTCCCTCTGACACAGCCCTGGGGTGGGATGCTCCAGAGGGAAGGTGGGTTTGCCTTTTGATCTCTGCGGAGAGCCTGGGTTTACAAACAGCAGAAAACAATTCCRTGCCTGTGTGCCAAGCTGCTCTTCCAGGCTTTTTTCTGGAGATGGAAGTGTTTCCTGTGACAGCTGATTTCCCTCCCAGCCGCGGCGATCCCGCGCGCGCCGAGCCTCAGCCTCGCTGAGGAGACGGTTGATGCCGCCSTGACAGTTTGACATTCCTCAGTCGTGGGATGTTGTTCCCCCTTCTTGCGTTTCACCCTTTTACGTGTAACCCTTTCCTTCCTGCTGGGCTCGGCAGCAAACCCTTTTAGGGTTTAGTGTGGGGAAAATGCTCGGTCCCTGGTGGTTGTAGCTGTTTRGGGAGCTGAGGGTGGAAAGGGAGGGGTGGGAGAGCTGAGGACCCTGAGGATGGGATGGATTTGGGGTTCACACTGATCACAAGGTGAGGTCTGGGGGTCTGTCACCTCCTTTCTGCTCCCCACCCCATTCCTAAGGAGGTGTTCATGGCCTGGTGCAGGTCAGGGAGGTGCTTTCCCTGGGGATCTTCCCTTTTGGAAGGAGGACAGGCAGGGCAGGGCAGGGCAGGTGGGACCTGTCCCTCTGTGTGGCCTCCCTTCTCCCCCACCCCCTYTGCTCATAACAACTCTCCCCTTCTYTTTATTTTTGTTCTTCTGAAGGGGTTTTCCAGCAGCAGCCGGAGCCTGGGAAGTCCCTGGCAAAGCAGCTGCTGTGTGAGAGGCAGGTTGGAGAGGGGAGGTGGGAGAGGATCTGAGGCTTTGGGGAGCTYGGAGACCAAACCCACCTGCTGCTGTTGGGAGTGGGATGGGAGGGAAAGTGGATCCAGCTGGAAGGGCTCRGTGAAGTTTGTTCTTTGTCCTGGTGCTCCATCCCTATTAAAGGTCTCTCCGTGTTTCCTGATTGCTCCTTCAGGTCCTGGAAGGSCACAGTGAGGTCACCCCAAAGCTTCTCCATCCCTATAAATAGTCTCTCCATGTTTCCTGATGGCTCCTGGAAGGTCACAGTGAGGTCACCCCAAAGCTTCTCCTCTCCAGGCTGAGCAATCCCAGTTCTCTCAGCCTTTCTTCCCAGCAGAGCTGCTCCATCCCTCTGCTCGTCCTGGACTCTTTCCAGCATCTCCTTTGTGTTCTGGAGCCCGGGAGTTGGGGCAGCTCTGCAGGTGGGGTCTCACCTGAGCAGGGCAGAGGGGTGGACAAATGCCARTTTGAGYTTTGCAGCTTTTCCACCCTGGTCTGGCACCGTGTGTTTTGTCCTGGTGACAGGGGTTGGGGTTTTGGCAGTTCAGAAATACTCCGAGGTCTTGTTGGAAGTGCTCTTCCAGGTGAGTGGCTGGTCCCAAAGCTCTTGACAACAAATGTGTATTATTTGCTCCCTTCACCTTCCTTTTGAATCATTTTGAAGTGCCCTTTTTTTGGGTGATTCCTATAATCTGGTTCCAGCTGTAGGAATGAGAGTAATTAAATCCCACCCTCCCCAGTCCCAGCCAGGCTCTGTGGAGAGCTTTGAAATAAAAGCTATTATTGAAATGCAGTTTCTCTTCCTTCTCCTYATGTATTGTTTAACAGTATTTGCTTTCCCCAGAGCCAGAGCTACGGGAGGTTTGTGCTCCTTCTTCCTAAATCTGAAATCTAAAGCCCTCTCGGGGGGTTTGGCTTCCTGTAGGTTCCTGGCTCTCCCCGGTGTCCTTCCTCCTCTCTTTCTCTGCCATCTCCCCTGCTTTCCCTKCCCTCGGTTTTATTAAATGCTYCTGGTAGCTTTCAGCCTGCCCAGTYAGGATTAGAGAGCRTATTCAGKCACTTCTTCTCCCCTGAAAGGTTTTATTTATTTTTATTTAACGAGCTCAGGGCTCATTAGCGAGGCTGGGCAGCACCAGCAGCGTGTCAGCACTGGGTGCTCAGAGCAGCTGCATCCTCCTGGAATGGGATAAAGATTCCCTTCTCCTCTCCTGTTATCCATCTCCCTCTCTGCTCCTTGCCCAGAGCTKCTGTGGAGCAGAGGGATCTTCCCAGGGCATCCTCCAGCTGCAGACTGGGGTGGTTTTGAACAGCCCCAGACCCAAAGGGAAGCTTTTGCTRTTTCCACACCTTTCCAAACAAGGAGGCCGTGGGGAGATAAGCACTTCAAAACCACCCCAAAATCTTCAGCTGGGCTGTGAAAGGCGAGAAAACAAAAAAAGGTGTTCAGAGGGCTTTGTTGTGTGTTTTCTGTGGGTGCTTGGCTTCACCCTTCGCTCAGTGCTCCAGTGTTGTTGCAAAACTTCGCAGGGGAATTTATCAATTGAAAACTTATTTGATTCATTGCTCTGGTAATAAAGAGAATTCCAGGAATATTCTGCTCTTTCTTCTTTGCAGCAGTGCAACCTCAGCCTGCAGCATCCAGCTCAGGGCCTGTTCAAATGCCTTGCTGGGTCAAAGGGGCACTCGATAAACTGCTCCAGGCAGGGTTTYTGTGTGTGTGTGCAAAATGCAGTTGAGTTTTCAGGCAAAGCTCTGCGCTCTCGGTTCGGTTCTTCAGGAAAAGTTAAGATTTCTTTTAATTGGAGGGGAAGAGAGAAAAAGCCATATGACCAGAAAGGTTAGGATTTAACAGCTTTAAATGTGAGCATGAAGAATGGGATTCTGTCATTCTCCTGCTGTGCCAGGCTGAGCCTGGACCGGGGGACAGGAGCTGAGGTGACGGAAATAGGGATGAACTGAATCCTTTGGGATGGGGACGCTCGGGTGGTGATGGTTGGTACCGCGTGGGATTGAACAGGGAACGCTCTGGTTTGGGGGCAGAGAGGAGGCTGGGAGTGGAAGGAGAAGGTGGAGAGGGGGGGAATTGATGGAAAAATACCRTGAGGCACCTTCTGAGGTGAGGATAAGCGGGGAAGGTCTCTTAGCAGCGCTGCTGATTTGCATGGGTTATGTAAAGCTGGGCTGGCAGCGGGAGAGCGGCGCTCCCATGGGAGCTGTCAGAGCTCTGCCGGGGGAGGCAGCGCTGGAGCTGCTCCCCTCCTGCACCTGAGCGGGCAGRAAYGGCAAATCYGGGTGGGACAGAGGGCACTGGGCTKGGCTGAGCGCTGCCACATCCTGGGAGTGTCCCTGAAAGGGTGCAGTGGCACCGGGGTGGTGGGGTTTGTGCCAGGGCTGGGGACTTAGAGCAATGCAGGCTCCCAGGAAAAGGCTCCAGGACCAAGGAGAAGTGATGGTGGTGATCAGGGTGGAAGCAACTGGTTTGAGCTGAAGGGAGTGGAAGGTGGAAAATCCCCAGACACGAGGCCATGGGAAGAGAGGTTCCACAACAGGGGTTAAGGAAGAGGAAGAACCAAAGGCTTTKGGGGAAAAGGGACTTTTTACCCTCCCTGCCCAAGCCAAGGTCAAAGGGAAGGTTCCTGGAGAAGGGAGCAGGGTCTGTTACATAAAATTCAGGGTTCCACTTTCTCCAGAGGCTCAGAGAGAGGAAGCAAAGACAAGCTGATAAATAACTTCCCCTTTTCCCTCCCTGGATCTGGGCATCTCCTGTGTTCCTGAAATCCTCTGCAGACTTTCTCTTTACTTTCAGCTCCTACCCATATCTAGCACCACAGGAGCTGCTGCCTGAAGGGGAAATCTCTTGGAGATGGGAGAGCTGGGATTGGTGCTTGGATAGAAGTGGGAGCTGCCTGAGAGGACACTGAGCCCTTTAGAGGTGCTCCAGGAGCTGCCTGAGGGATGCTGAGCTCTTCAGAGATGCTTTAGGAGTTGTCTGAGGGACACTGAGCCCTTCAGAGGTGCTCCAGGAGGTGTCTGAGGGGATGCTGAGCCCTTCAAAGGTGCTCCAGGAGATGCCTGAGGGGATGCTGAGCCCTTCAGAGGTGCTTCAGGAGGTGTCTGAGGGACGCTGAGCCCTTCAGCGGTGCTCCAGGAGCTGTTGGAGATGGGTGGAGAAGGAGCCCAGGGTCATCCAGACTCAGCATGGGGAGCGTCCAGGAGAGGGAGCTGATCCGGGATGGAGCTCTGGGAATGCTGCAGGTGTGTGAGCATCAGCTGGGAGGGGATGGATCGCAGCAGGGGTGGAATGGTAGGGTTTGCTTTGGGGGAGGTGGATTCTCCCCAAATCGGGGCTGCAGCTGCTGCTGGGGTTTAGTTGTGAAATCCCAGCAGCAGGAAATGGATGTGCTGGGAGAAAACCCCTCTGGAGGCTGAGCTGGGCCATCCTAAAATGTKCATTTCTTGGAATTCCAGGCGGTGTTTGCAGCTCCCAGGCTCGGAGAGGCTGTGCAGGGCTCTGTCCCTGCAATGTGTACTTTGCTGGAATTGCTGCCGTTTGTTTTTCCTAATTTACCCTTTCCCTGTTTGTCCTGCTCACGGTGCAGGGGTCTAATTTAGCCTTTTTTTAGGCAAAAACCTGCTCAGCAGTTATGGGTTGGGGCAGTAATTCTGGAGCRTTTAGAGGTGAATTTGATTAGCACTTTTGGAAAACTGTGCAGCAAATTGCAGTGCTAATCACGRGAACTCCAGCCAGGGAGTTTTAAGGCAGAGCTGGCCTTTGGTTGTGTTGTTTTTAAAGCCAAAAGTGAAGATATTAAACTGTCTGAAGCTCAGAAGAATTCTATTTCTGCTGGTTTCATGTCAGGCTGTCTGATGATGCAGTTGTGCTGGGCTGAGCATTGGTAGAAAAATAGAAATAAAATAGAAAGCACTTAGTTTGTGCTCCAGAGCTGATCCTGTAGCGCTGGAGCTTTTCTTCTGTCTCTCCCTGTCCATAATGGAGTAAAATAATCGAATTAAAATGTCTTTTATTCATAAAATCACTCACTTTGTATGAAAGATGGATGGGAAGAGACACAGCCAATTAACTCCCAACTTTATTGTGTCGTCCCTGGGGTTTGGGATCTTCTGGAATCAAAGAGAACCCTCCCAGTGACCTCTGCTGGGAGCTGGATGATGCATTTTAGTGGTTTTTAAATGAGAATAAAATCCATGGCTGTGCACAGAGAGCCGGGCAAGTGTTAAGTGGATTAAGTGGAACCCACTGGAGACCTTTGTCTGGGGAATGGGACTTSCAGCCGGATTCCCTGGGGCTGCAGACTCTGGGCTGCTGCTCCAGACTTCAAAGAAAYGGGAATTTGGGGTCTGATTTCACAGGGAGTCTCCCCCAGCGCGAGACACCAGGGTTGTTGTTTGCAGAATGCTGGGGATGAGATAAGGAAGGACCCAGATTTGATCATTAACCAGGGAGGCTTGGGGGAAACAAATTTTCTTTTGCGAGAGCTCTGCCKTCGCTGCCCGTGACGTGGCCGCTGCTGGGATAATGTTTGAGGGATGGGGAAATTAGTGGATGCAGCCTAATCAGGAAATGTTGGCCTTCATAATTTTTTTTTTGTTCCCCCTGAGACGTGGAGATTGCTGGAGTTACAAACTGCAAATTGGTGACTGCAGGAGATGCCTAAAATATGAGATAATGCCTAAAAACTGCCCAGCTTTCTCTGCGGGGCATCAAACGCTGGGTCTGGGATCTGTAATTAAATTGCTGATGGGCTGTTCCAAAAAGCAGCTGGCTGATCTAAGGTTGTGCAGGGCAGGAGCAGAGACACCATAACTGGGAGACAGGGAAAAGGAGCGATTTAGGGGATGGGAAAATGTGAAAACTTTGGATTTTTGACCCTTCCAGGGTGGGGGAGGATCCTGAGGGTCAGAGCTGCTGGCTTGGGTGGCTGGGTGAACTGTGGAACATGGTCTGCCTGAAGAGCTGGGTGTGCTTTGGGCAGCTCTGGGGGCTCGGCACAGGGGGGAACTGCTGGAGCAATTCCAGAGCTGGAGATCCTCTGGAGCCAGGCTGGGAGAGCTGGGARTGTTCACCTGGRGAAGGGAGATGTTCACTCCAGGGAGAGCTCAGAGCCCCTKGCAGGGCCTAAAGGGGCTCCAGGAGAGCTGGGGAGGGACARGGGATGGAGGGACAGGACACAGGGAATGGCWTCCYACTGCCMGAGGGYAGGGATGGATGGGATATTGGGAAGRAATTGTTCYCTGGGAAGGTGGRGRATGTTATGGAATAACCTGRCCCAGGGGTGTGGGTGCTCCTCTGGATGCTTCCATGGGCATCTGGAACCTCTGTGGGACCCGAGGTTTCTTGGTGTCCCTTCTCTGCTGTAAAAGGGGAATTCTGTGTGAAATTCTGGAGATGAGTGCTCTGCTTTCCCTCCCCTCTGCAGTGCTGTGGGGGAGCTTCAGGGGATGAACAGAAAATGGGAGTTACTGGGGTCACTCTGGCCCTGACRGAGCAGGGCTGAGCCTCCTCCTCTGGCTCAGGTCTCTCCATTCCAGGGAGTTTTTCCCAGGAGTGAGATTTGCCTGGAGCAGGTGGCACATCCCTTCCAGCTGGGGAGGAGGGAATTCTCTCAGAATGGGAAGGGAGAAATGGGATTTTTTTTTTCCTGTTGGGAAGGGAGAGATGGTACTTGTGGAATTCCTTTGCCTTCTGCCTCGTGGTTCATGGAAACCGCAGAATCATGGAATCCTGGGATGGTCTGGGTTGGAAGGGACCTTCAAGATCATCAGGGCAGGAAACCTTCTGCTTGAGCTCTGCTGGAGATGGGGATTTGGGAATGAATCCCTTCCAAGAATGAACCATACAACTCTGGGTTCAAAGCAGATCCCTCCTCCCTTAGAGCCATTCCTAACTCAGCTTTTCCCTCTCCTCGCTCTCCCGCAGCCGTGGCCTTCCTGGTGGCTCTGCACCAGAACAAGCAGCTGATCGGCACCAAGGGGCTGCTCCCCTGCAAGCTCTACCTGCAGGACATCCAGAGGTACTTCAAGGGCACGATTGGCCTGGACGCCCTGAGCTATGCCCCCACCGTGCTCTGGTTCCTGGACTGGTCAGACATGGACAGTGTCCTGGACGGGCTGGCGCTGGCGGGGCTGGCAGGGGCAGGGTTCGTGCTGGTGACCGGCTGTGCCAACATGGTSCTCATGGCCCTGCTGTGGCTGCTCTACCTCTCCCTGGTCAACGTTGGACAGATCTGGTGAGTTCYCAGCACCTCTGCTCGGCTTTTCCCTTTCCCGCGGGCTGGTTGGGGCATGTAGTCGTTCTCCCGCTCCCCGTTTGTTTTCTCACTCCCCGTCTGTTCTCCCAATCCTATTTTTCGTTCCCAAAATTCTCTGCTGAGCCAGCCTGGGAAGGCAGCTCCGATATGATCCAGTGAGATAAGCAGGAATCTGGCTCCTCAGCAGGATCTCCATGCAGGAATGTGATATAGGGGCAGCACTTGGCAGGAATGGGGACATGGACATGTCTTACCTGGGATATCCACCTGTCTGCTGTGCTCTGAAAATCACTGCAGGAGCTGGGTTTGATGCTCTTTGTGGCTCCTTTCCCACTGAGGTAATTCTAGAATGTTCCATGCTGGTTATTCCAGCTGGGCAGAGCTTTCCCTCAGGGTGTTTGGGGCACACAGTGGTTTTCCTGGTCTGTTTATTCCATTTTCCTGTTTTCCCCATCCCCAAAATTCTCTGCTGAGCCAGCTGGGAAGGCATCTCCAGTAGGATTCAGTGGGATAAGCAGGAATCTGGCTCCTCAGCAGGTTCTCCATGTGGGAATGTGATATAGGGACAGCAGAAATGGAGACATGGACATGTCCCACCTCTGCCTTACCCAAAATATCCTCCCTGGTTTCCCTGCTGTGTTCTGAAAATCGCTGCAGGAGCTGGGTTTGATGCTCTTTGTAGCTCCCTTCCTACTGAGGTCATTCCAAAATGTTCCATGCTGGTTCTCCCAGCTGGGCAGAGCTTTCCCTCATGGCTGTTGCAAGGAAATTCCCTCAATAATTACATTTAGGATGGTTTATCTGTTTTCAGCCCTGCCCAGAAGAGAGCTGCCATTCTGTATTTTAGCACAGAAAGCTTGTGGGGGAGAAAAGGAGAAGCCCCAGCTCTGTGAATCACCTTGCTGTGGTGCAAAAATGAAGGGTTTTGGTTTTTCCCACTCTGGTGAAGGCCCCAGATATATTGCTTGAAAGAGGATGTGYCCTTAAAACCCAAAATATCATTGATTCCTGCAGCTGAGGTGATGTGGGACCTTTGGGGAGGGAAAAGGTTCTGCCACCAATAGGTGCCCGGGGATTTTCTCCCTAAATCTGGCTCTAAAATACACAGCAGGGCACCTTTTCCACGGATGGGCTCAGGGGCTGTAATAAAGGATTTGCATGTGCTGTCCCATTCCTTGCCATCCCACTCCAGCTGGAATGTCAGTGGGTGAAGGAGAGCAGCCTCTGAAAAGCTCCATTCTCTGAGCTCTTAACTCAGCTTGAACTTAAAACTCTGAAACCCAGCCACAGAGTTGGAAAAATAACTTTTCCATTGCCTGTTTCCAGATCATTCCAGACCTGCTTGTCTATTTTCTGGATGTTTTTTATGTTAGAGGGCAGGAATTCAAGCATCCTCTGCTCTGGTTGCCAGGGATACAGGAGCCTGTTCTCTGTAGCAGCAAAATCTGGATGTGATCCTTCTTCCTTTTTGTGTTTCTGTTTGGAGGGGGAAGAAAAAAAAATCCCAATAGCTAAAAAATCCTCCCCCTGAAGCTGGCGCTCCTGCTTTTCCAGGTGTCTTCTCTGACAGCCCTGCAGGACTCCTGAGGTTTTCCCAAAATAATTCTTGGAGAGGCTGTTTGGTCCCCTGTGCTTTGTGGGTGGGATTGGGTGCTCTGTTATTTGTCTTGCTCTCATTTTGGGGCAGATCAGGAGGTTTTGATGAGTTCTGCTGTTTCTCCAAAGCACCTGCAGAAGAGCACAGATCTCCCAAAGCAGGGAAAGGCAATGCCAGGCATTCCTGRCTGGAGGGATGGGGCAGCCCAGCAGAGAGGGGTCTGAAATGAAAAGCAAACTCCTCCTGTGGCSCCATCATTTTGAATTATTCCCCAATCTTGCTGTCCCTGTTCACTCCCATCCCCAAAACCCTGYGAAGGCAGCTCCAGGCAGATCCAGCAGGATAAGCAAGGACAGAGCTCTCTTCTTCAGGCCAGCGAGGGACAATTTATTCCTTTTATCGCCTTTTGGGCYGATTTGAATTTCAAATGTCCCTGTTTGCTTTGGGCTGCCGTCCCCAGAGCCCGGGCGCTGCTGCAGGAGCCGCTCTTTCAACTGCTGCCCAGCTGGCCTGGGCTCAGCCAGGGGASCTCAGAGGAGCTCAGGGTGTTCTTTGAAGGGCAGGACTCTCCTGGCAGCTGGGCTTAGGGTTTGGCTTTGGGGTCTGACACTAAAGGGGTTTTTATCCCGAGCGGTGCAGTGCAGTAAAAGTTGGAGATGGATTTTTGAGGTTCTTATTGCAGGTTGGAAAGCAGCCAGGTGGGAATTTGGGGCTGGATTTAGCAAGTTCCATGGGTTTGGGAATACTCCATGAGCCAGGGAGCAGCTGAGGGCTTGGAGAGTCTTAAAACCCTGAGGAAAAGGCTCCTGTGAGATCCTTGTAATGGGGTTTGCAGGGTAAGGAGTACTTTGGCAACCTAAAATCCCCAGAACTAGGCCCAGTTTGGTGCCACTGATTTTATTGTCCTGGACTCTGAGCAGTCTGAAGTAAGATGCTCTCAAAGCCGGGTGACCTTGCAGAGAAAAATTAATTTATTTTGGTGCCTGGGAAATGCGGGATCAAGATTCCCAGTGCTTTCCACCTCCAGATTTTGTAGTTTTTGTCATTCTGGGTCCCAAAATGTTTCCCAAAAGAGCTGTGGGTCTGCTCAGGCTAAACCTGGATGTGTTWGGGGTCAAGTGATGGTCATGTGATGGTGTCACACTTCCATCAGGAGCTCAGCGTGTCTGCCTCCAAATACTGGATTTTTTTTTTCTTTTTTTCCCCAGCTGCCACTTTGAACTTTTTCCTTTTGAAGTAGGAGACTGTCAAGAATCTCAAAATCTGCCAGGGCAAAGGAATATTTAATATTTAATGCCTGACCCGTTGGGTAAAGGGCTGAATCATTGTGTTCATTTTGACCTTGATTATTTCTGTCATTTTTGCAGTAGTAAAATAGGAGTAAAATKATAGTAGTCACTTTGAGTAGAGTAGAAGCTGTTTAAAGATATTTGAAAGGATTTTTGTGGGAATTCCTCACACTCCAACATCCATTTTGCAGCCTTCAAACCCAGCTTGTCCAGCTTCAGTCTGGAGAACAGCTCCAACAGGCAAAGCCATTTCTTTCTCCCCACTTTTTCCATCCTGAATATTCCTGTAATGGATTATCAGCATTTAAACCAGGATATGGGAAAAGCTGCCCCWGGTTTAATGAAAATCCTTGTGGCAGGTGACCCTGTGAAGCCTCCATCAGTGGTGTCATTCCCTATGGTTTGTGTAGGATTTGTCATTCCTGGTTTGTGTAGGATTGCTGTTTGTGGGATGGGTGTTGTCCTGGGGCAGGACAGGCTCTGTGGCAGAGGCTCCCAGCAGAAATGAAACCATTTTCGTACCAGAGTCACTTCTAAAGTGCCTTGGTAATTCTGGAATAAATTTGCTTTTATCCCCAGTAAGGTGCCTCCAGAGAGCTGTTACATTTTCTTACAGAAACAAACTTTTCAGTTGCTCTGCCACTGATCTCTCGTTCCTTCTCCTGATGTTTTCTCCCTGCCCCCGGCATTTCCAACTAGCAAACCCTTCCTTTCCCTGGGTGATTGTGTTGGGTCATTTCCCAAAGCTCKTTGCCCATTGTTAGAAAGCACAAATTTAAAAAGAAAAAAGCTGGAWTTGTGGGATTTTAAATCCTGTTGCCTTTATTTTCTTTCATGAGTCAGATTCTGGTTGAGTTACAGGAGCTCAGGGGAATAGGTTCAACAAGCCAATAAATTAAATTATAGCACGAGGTGGCTGCAGGGCTCTTTCCAGTGTGTTCTTCCCTCCTGGAAAAGGGTGCTGCAGGTATTTCGGATCAAATAACACCAAGCAGAACCTTTTTTACCTGCAAGGAATATGAAACAGAGCTTGTGTGTCCTTTGAAGCTTAAAAAACTGCTGGTGCTGCAGCAGAGAGGGGAGGAGATGGCTCAGTGTTTGGRCCCCCAAATCCCTGGTGGTTTTCCATCTTCAACTGCTGGGAGAGAACAGCTTGAGACTTTCATATTGAAGGATTTCTTGGTGCTTCCTGTGGACAGAGCCCTGTCCTGAGCAGGAGATGAGAGAATCCCCCTTGGAATCCCCCCAGCAGCTGCAGGAGGGGTCAGTGGGTTGTGGAGCTCTGCAGGGTTTTAAGTAGTGTGGGTAATTCAGGAAGACTTTTCCAGATACTGAAAGCTCAGGATCTGTGCAGGGAGGGAATGGGTGTGGTGGGTTTGATGGGGACACGTGGGGAGTTCTGTGGGATTGTTGCTCTGGCAGGAATGGAGGTGCCAGTTGTGCTTGGCTGGGTGACCTTGGCCATCCATCTTCATCCTGCCTTATCACCCTGGAGACGATTCAACCTTCTGCTGAGGGACTGTAATTCCCAACTGAGACCAGCTTTCCATGGAAGCTGGGAGTGGAAGCAGAAATGTGTGTTGTGCCCGAGTGTGGTGTGCAGTTTTGTGTGTTAAAAAAGAAGGATTTGAAGATTTTTAGATRAAGCTCATTAACCAACATCTCCTCGGTGATGTGCTGAATGGGAGGTTTTTAGGGCTTTGCAAATCAGTCTTTTGCACAGAACTCCTTTTCTTTTCCCAGCTCTCCAAAATACCCCAATGACAACAACAACAACAAAAGAAAAGTTGGGATATCTCGCTCCTTCATCTGCCTTGGCACGGGAGCTCAGGAATCTCTTTGTTATCATGGCTCGAAGCCTCACATCCCTTCTGCTCCGAGATGCCCTCCCTCTCTCCCCAGCCAGGAAAGMTTATCCCTGGAAACGTGAACTCAGAGTTGCAGGATCTCAGGGGGTCATCCTTCCTGCCCAGGAAGCCGCTTTTTGGCGCTTCCTCCCCGCCCAGGAGAGAGGGAAGGGATCGGTTTCAAAGAAGGCTGCGAGCAGCCCTGAGCGCTGGGGATGACATGGGAATGAAAGCCAGGATTCATTCCATG